AGCCCTGCACCAACTGTTACAAAAGTAGCTCCTCATCCAGGCCCCTAGTTTAAACACAAGCAGGGAAACAAGGCCCCATTAGCTACTTCCAGCTCCTGTAAGCGTAAAGAAAGCTGACAGGGAACCTGTTTCATTTCTCACAAGGACTGGAGAGTTGAAAGGAGGGAAAGACACAGGGAAAGTGGGGACACTGTACTCTGCCTCTGGGTGTCAACCAGTTTGTCCCTGCTGCTACCTGGAAAGGGTCATGTCAAACCCACCTGGACCAGGTACCCTCTCTAACAGCCCTAGATTGCTTAAGGGCTGAGTCTAACTGCCATGTGGACGTGAAGATGGGGGAGGAGGGGTGGGCCGGCATCCTGGAGCACTGGCTGCCTAGGAAGCCTGGCCTGGCCTGGGTGAGGTGGGCAGGAGCCTAGCGTGGGGCATGGCAGGTCCAGGTGGATGCAGGGTTTGCCTGGGACTGGAAAAGGTACCCAGACTGTGGGGCTTGTTGCAAACGCTTCATCCGGACAAGCAGCAATCCCCTCTCCCTACTGTTCTTCAAGATGAAGTGGAAATGGACAAAGTGAAAGGATTTTTCCACCCAGGAAGGTAGAAAAGGAGATGTCCATAGGATGTTCAGGAGTGCAGGGACAAACTCGGGGGTGTGGCTGCCAGAAGAATGGAGGAGGAGCTCTGGAGCACAGGACTCTGAGCTCAGGGAGCTTGGGACCGGGTGGGTTGGGGGGGGCAGTTGTGGGGTAAGGGTCAGTTTGAAGGTGTGGGTTGGAGGAGTGTTGAGGGGACCGTGGGGAAATCTAGAAAAGAGAAGGGAGAGATAATCGGAAGACAAGCGATTGAGATAGGGAATTAACGTGGATCAGAAAACAGAAAAGGGGAGTCCCGAGCTGAAAATAAAGCCCCGAGAGGAAGACAACGAGGAGCTTCAGAGCAGGCGCTGGAGCCCCGCTGGGCTGTAAGGGCCGGAGAGAGTTTCTGGCTGCCGGGCCCCGCGGGCCTGGCCTCCAAGGAGACGCGGATCCTGGGGCCCAGCAGCGGGGGCTGCAGCCCCGGGCTGGGCCGGGTCGGGGTCGGCCGGCGGCCCTACCTGGTACACGGAGGCCTTGGGCAGGTCCAGGCACACGGTGCAGCACAGCACCGAGTAGAGCCGCTCCTCCAGTTTCCCGCTGCCGGCCGCCGCCGCCGCCGCCGCCGCCTCGGCCGCCTCGGCTGCCCGCAGCCGCTTCTTGGGCGGCGCGTCGGGGTCGCCGGCCGCCTCCTGCAGCTGTAGCTGCCGGGCGCCCGCCAAGCCCGCCTCGTCCGGGAGCCCAGGCCCCGCCGCCTCGCCCAGCGCCGCCGCCGCCGCCGCCGCCTGCCCGGCGGCCGCCCCAGGCCCGGCTCCGACCCCCTTCGCTGAGCCCGGCTCCGGCCGGCCGGCCCCGGCCGGCACGCGCCGCAGGCCCCGCGGCAGGCCCGACCCCGACCCCGACCCCGGCCGGCACGGCGCCCGCGGGCCCCGCGGCCGGGCCGCCCCCGCCGGCCTCCTCGGCGCCGGACATAGCGACCGGCCGGCCCGGCGGGCGGATGCCGGCGCGCTCCCGCGACTAGAAGTTAGGGGTGCCGCGCGCTCCCGCCGCTCTCCCGCCGCCGCCGCCGCGACCCCGCAGCCCCGCTCCCTGCGCCGCCGCCTCAGTGGGCCCGGCCCGTGCGTCGCCCCGCAGGAGCTGCGGCCACCGACCCCGGCACGGCCGCCATCTTTGTTTTCGCTGTGCGCTTCCCCCCGCCCCGCCACCACCACCCCCTCGTCTTCCCCGTCACGTGAGCTCCGCGCGGGGCCAATGGCAGCGCCGCTTGGGGCGAGAAAGCGCAGGGGTCAGAGCCAATGGGAGCGCGAGGGCCTCCAAGGGCCCGCCCCTGCAGAAGGTGGGCGGGGAGGGGGCGGGGCCCGCGAGAGTCGCGGAGGGACGCTCACCTGGGGGCAGGGAGGCCCACGCTAGCTGCGGCGCCGGCGCAACACCCACGCTCCACGAGCCAGCGGCAGCTGCCGACCCCTACGGCGGGGTGTGCCTGCGTCTTTGTCCCCCAAGACTCAGGCTCGTGTGTTAGGGGCTCTCGCCCGGCTACCCGCAGGGGAAGGGCACAAATGAAAATCCCCGCGGGCTACCCATCTCTGTCGGGTGCGGGGCCCCTTAGGTCTCCACAGGAGCAAGCGGAGAGACTTCCGGGAGAGGGGACTCCAGACCCCTAATCCACCGGAATCTAATCCTCTGCTCGTCCGAACCCCCTATCCTAACCCTGGGGTTGGAGGCTGAAGGGGTCCACCGAGGAAAACGAAGGTCTTAGGGAGTAGGGCTGGCTTCCACAGGCCGGAGGTACACAGGAGAGCGAATCAACTCTGGGAAGGATGTGCGTTTCTTCAAACGGCTGTGATACAGCCCTCCCCTGACTCCACCCTACCCGTCAGTTATTGAAGGTCACTGCCCCAGAGGACCACCTGCAGGCCAGGCTAGGATATCTGGAACTCCACCATGTCCCAGGAGAGTAAGGGCCTAGGGCTGTCTTCTCAGCCCAGAGGTCTTCCTGACAATGGTCGAAAGGAGGCCGGGCTGCATGAGCCCCCATCCTAGTACTAGTACATACCCTATCAGGGTAACCAGCTGCTGCCCTGAGGGGCCTTAGGAAGCTCACTGAAGGATCCCTCAATCCCTCTCAAAAATGGGCAGATTCCATATTCCTGCAAAATTCCTAATATTTATTGGAGTCTAGGCCTCTTCTCTGGATCCACAACCGTGTCCAGCCCAGAATCAGGTCCCCCAAACGTGTCTGGGACCCTGTCCCTTTCATTCTGGTCTACGCAAGTCCCCACACGTGGCCAAAGGACAGCACCCAGACTCTGCTCCTGACCAGTCAGTGTGCAGCAAGCCCACTTCAGTGGGCAGGAGAGTCTACCTCTAGGGGAGAAGGCGCCAGGAGCAGGCAGGTGAGAGGGAGTGTTCAGCAGGGCAGAAACCCTGCCTTGCTGTATCCAACTGTCATTCCCACTGCAAGCGCTGTGTATGCAGGGCCCGGCAGTAAGCCCAGCTGCCTGCAGCCAGGGCCCAGCGACAGACATCCTCCTTCGGTAGCAGCAGCAGCCTGTCCTCCTCTAGCCGGCTCAGGAGGCCTGCCACACCCAGCATCGTCCCCCCCCACATCCCATAAGTGTTGGCCGTGAAGACAGCTACAATGAGGATGGTCACTGCGACCACTAACAGCATTGCCTGACCAGCCACAGAGCGGCCCTCAGGGCTGAGGTGGCCGCCAGCCACTGCCAGCACCATGCCTCCTCCCAGGAGCAGGTTGGCAGAGGAGCGGTCCCCATTCACCCAGTGGAAATCGAAGGCCAGAAGGGGCAGGCCGATGACGGTGGCCACCCAGGCTCCAGCAAGACAGTCTTCACGTGTGCTCAGCCCTGGGGCCAGCATGATGGTGGCAGCCAAGACCTGGAGCAGGAAGCCAGCAGCAGCCCCTCGACTTGCCTGTCAACACAGGGAAGGGAGAACATGTGGGAAAAAGAGGCCGGGGCCACCCTTTTAAACAGGAAAGGGTTTTGGGCTTCCATGGAGACCTGGTCTTAGATGCACTTCCCACCAACCTCTCCCTAATTCAGGAAAATAAGTCCTTCGGGTGTGGGAGGTATGGGGATGCGCCCCTGCTCAGCCCCAGTGTACTCACCTGGGCTGTGCTCACGGCTGCGTGCAGAGACACCACTCCCAGCACCAGATGGGACAGGGCTGTGCTCCACTCGGCCCCCGGCTTGGGGGCCATGGCACCTCAGGCCGTAGTAAGTATGAGGACGCAGATAGGAGATATTCAACTTTGGAGAAAAAAGTGCGAAGCCAGCGACCTGGAGCCCTAAGCGCGTCACTCTAGTACGCCCAGGTTCCAGGGCCCCATTACTGGATGTTAGAAGAGGTTCAGTCTTAGATTTTCCGGATCCCTGAGGCCACTGCACACACCTGTGGAGAATAAGAACCTAATTCAGCCGGGAAACGGGGGAAAACGACTTGGTCTAGGCTGGGGGTACGTGAGCCGTGGGGCCCTGGAGCCCAAGTGGGAGTGCCAGGCTTGGGGAAGAGAGAGCGGCGGGGCGCCGCAGGCCCACGCGGCGGCCTCGGCCTGTTCCCTGCGCTCCGGGAGGCGCCGTTCTGGGAGCACAGGTCCAGGAGGAGCTACGGCGCAGGCCTCCGGGCGGCCGGCCGTGCGCAGTTACCGGCCTGCGCAGTTCCAACGCAGCGGCGAGCGAGAGGCCCGAGCCTGACCAATGCACCGCCCACCGCCGTGGGCCCTGATTCTTCTGCCAGGCTTCCGGGTGCGGGAGCGAGCGCGGTCGGGAACCTCCACCAGCGAGAGGAGCGGAGGCTAGAGCGGCCGGGCGGGGCTAGAGCAGCTGGGGGCGGGGCCTGGGGGGCCGGTTGGAGGCCATAGGAGCGGGTGGGGTCGGGAGGAGCTCGGGGACCAGAAAACGCTGTTTGGGTGGGTGCGTGGGCCTAGTGGTTTGGAAGGAGCTGGATGAGGGCAGAAGGGCCGGGGCGGGGCTGCGAGGGGAGGGTGTCTAGGCGGGGCTGAGGGGAACAAGATGTAGGCGAGGCTGAGAGCTGCGGGTCTGAGAGGGGAGGGGGCCTGGGTGGGGCGGGGCCTGGGCCCCTATGCGATGGGGTCTGGGCGGGGCTGCGGGGGGGGGGGGAGGGGGCTGGGCAAGGCTGCAAAGGGCGGGGTTTGGGCGGGGCTGCGAGGAGAGGGGGGCCTGGGCGGGGCTGAGATGGGCGGGGCTCCGGGGAGGGGAAGGTGAACACCCGCGTGTTGAAGGCTCCGCGAAACCGGAGCGGTGGGGGACTATGCGGAGGGCGGGAGAAATTCCGAGGGGAGGGTCGCGGGAGCCGTGGGCACACTCAGCCCGGTGTCCGCGGTGTAAGGGTTGGGGCGCGCGGCGCGGCGCCGTGAGAAGCGGCGGGTCTGCAGGTGCGGCCGCGGGCACCTGTTTCTGGGACCCCTGTCTCCGCGCTCGCCCTCCAGCCGTGGGAGCCGGGCCGTGGGGGCGGCCGTCGCGAGCATGCGCACCGGCACTGCGGCGGGCGGGCGCCGAGTCTGGGCGCGGGGACGCGGGGCGGCGCGAAGCGGGGCCGTCTGCCGCCCCGCGCTCCCATGTACGCCTTTTACTCGTTGCTTATCTACATCTTCTACAGCCTCTTTCGCAGGGATGGTGGCGCCGCGGCGGCCGCGGAGCCCGGGGACCCCGCCCAGGTGAGTGGGGCTGGCCGCGCAGCCCATCGTCCCCCGCCGCCTGCCCCACCCCCACGCCGAGGTTCCCGGGGCGAGGGCGGGCACGAGGCGCGGGGCGACGGGGTCGTGCCGAGGACCGTCGGCTCGGCTCCGGTGCTGGAAGCGTAGATTTCGGCCCCAATCCTCCGGCCCGGTTCGCGGAGGGAAGGGGCCAGCAGGCTGCTTGCCCCCTCGTCAGGGGCGCTCCTGCTCCCTCCCTAGAGAGCCCGCAAGCCCCGGGGTCGCCGGCGGCCAGACCTGCCCGCGCCAGAGCTGTGGACCGAGCTGACCGGCCTGATCGGTAGGTGCGGGCTGGGAGCCCCGCTGTGCGAGGGCGGTGCCGGGACCTCCCTGGGAGGGGCGGAGGCCTGGCTCCAGCACGTGACCCGAAATGCCTCCCGCTCCCCTCCATGACCGGCAGGCAGCTCCGAGCCTGAAGATGGGTCGGAAAGCGGAGCCGAGGGCCGCGCGGCAGCGGTGTCCCTGGAGGAGGCCCTCCTGCGCCTCGCCGAGTTCCTCTCCGTCCAGCTGGGGGCGGAAGAGAGCTGCGGGAGCCCGGCCGACCTGGGCCAGGTGAGCGCGGCGGAGGGGCTGCTGGCAGCTGCCACCTGCGCAGGCCTTCCTGGCTCTCACAGCCCTGCTCCGATTCTTATCTCCTTCGCAGTCTGGCGAGGTCCCCCCACTGTTGACAGTGACCAGTCAGCTGTTGGCCCTTCTGGCATGGCTTCGGAGCCCCAGGGGGAGGCAGGCCCTGCTCCAGGGGACTCAGCCAGCCCCTCGGGTCCGGCCCCCCACTCCAGATGGTGAGTAAAGGGCAGTAAGTTGAAGAGGGACTCTGGAGGGAGCAAATCCTAGTAGAACCTGGGCGGCCTGGAGTTCGGGGTCATGTTCCGGAGGATTTGGACCAAAGACCTCTTTCTTCAGTGCTAACTGGGCCCACCCTACTCCAGGATCCACATCCCAAGAAGAAAGCGCTTCCCACCTCGGCGCAGTCCCAGGCGAGCCACTGGGGGATGAGGGCCAGGGACAGCAGCTCCTCCAGTTGGAGGACGACCAGAGGGAGTGGCAGCGGCTGGAGCAGCTCATCCTGGGACAGGTGAGGCTTCAGGAGCCAGAAGGGATCAGGGGCTGGGGCGCCAGAAAAACGAGGTCCACCCTGTCTCTCGTACTTCTCCCCAGCTGGAGGAGCTGAAGCAGCAGCTGGAACAGCAGGAGGAGGAGCTGGGTCGACTGCGCCTGGGCGTGGTGAGGCTGCGGGGAGGGTGGGGGGAGGACCTGGCAGGGCTGGGCATGGAAGGGGGTGCTTCAGGTGAGTACCGAGGCTTCCTCTCCACCAGGGGGCGACAGACTCAGAGAAAAGGGTTCAGCATCTCACCCTGGAGAACGAGGCCCTGAAGCAGAGCCTGAGTCTCATGCGGGACCTTCTGCTGCACTGGGGTCCCGGCCCCCCAACCAGGGCTCCGCAGGTACCCTGCTCCCAAGCTGCAGCCGTTCCTGCAGCCTGGGGCTCCTGCACACCTAGCATGCAGCCACAGTGCCCGAGCCTCCTTGGGACCTCCTGGGGTGGTCTGTGCAGGGCAGCCCCATCAGGGTGGCTGATGCCTGTGGGAGAACCCCCTCTCTCCGTGGCCCCTATGAGTGACTGATCCCAGGAGAGCAGAGGAACCGTGGGAAGGAGCTCTGCGTGGAGTTGGGAGGCATGGATTCACAGCCAGCTCTGCCCACCTCTTGACTTGACTTTCCCATCTGTGAAATGGTACCGCAGACCGTCCCTCTCTGAGTCCCTCCTGGCCCCCACCCTCCCGCAGGAGGAGGCGGAGGCATTGGTGGAGCTCCAGGGCCGGCTTCAGGAGGCCCAGGACACCACAGAAGCCCTCCGAGCCCAGGTGGGCATGGGGCCCAGGGATCCGTGGCTCAGGGGTGAGGAGGGCTGGGGTACTGGGAGAGGCTTATCTGAGGCAGGGCCTGGTAAGTGCCTGTTTCCTCAGTGACAGGGGTGGGGTTGGGCGGGGCAGCTGGGGGTGCAGGAGGTGCAGCTGCAGGGCCTTCAAGGGGCCCTCCAGCAGCTCCAGCAGGAGACGGAGCAGAACTGCAGGCGCGAGTTACTGCAGATGCATGGGCAGCTGGCAGGTAAGGGCTGGGGCTCGGGCTCACGGGAGGCCCTGGAGGCTGGGCCTTCCCTTCCAACAGACTTCCCTCTCCAGGACTTCGGGCACGGATGGCCAGCCTGCGTCAGGGCTGCGGCGACCTCCGAGGATTGGTCAGCACCTTTACCCAGAGCTGCCAGGGTTCGCTGAGTGAGGCCCGGGGCCAGGTCAGGACCCCTCACCGCCTAGCCCCTCCTCTCTGGGCACCCTATTCTCTGTTCTTTTGATAGGGGTGCTCTTGGGGAGTTGGCTGTACTAATAAGTGGGGCTCTGGAACCCAAACAGCTTTTGTGTGACCCAGGGTGGGACTTCACTTCTGGGCCTTGTTTTCATCATATGCATACTTGGTTGACAGTAAACTCTTAAAGCATTGCCTAGAAGCACGGAGGAGACGGATGATGTGGTGTCTCTGCCTGTCATTTCTGGGCTTTATCCTGGGGTTACTGAATTGATGTCCCCAGGGGCCCAGAGCCACTGAAAGTTGTGGCTCAGCACAGTTGGGTGGCCCTGTGGGGGCTCCTTGCTGCTCTCAGGACCCTACCACCCCCCACTTCCGCAGCTCCTTGGCTGACCCCTTGCCTTCTGTACATCCCTGTTCCCTCAGGTGTCCTGGGCCTTGGGGGCACTGTCATCTGGAGGGCCTGGCACTCAGCTCCCTGAGGGGCAGCAAGGGCCCCCAGCTGGATGCCCAGGGCGGCTGCCAGAACTCAAGGGTATGGCAGGCTTGGGAGCCCAAGGGGGCAGGGAGGGTGGCTGGAGGAAGTGCAGCCTCTCTGTGCTTTAGGGTCTGCGAGACACCCTGCTGACCTGATCCCCACTGCAGGAAATATCCGTGTGCTGTGTCGACTGAGGCCAGGGACATCCTCCAGCCTCGTGAGCGTGGAGCCTGGCCCAGGGGGCACCGTCACCACCTGCTACCGGGGGCGCCATCGTCGATTCCGCCTAGACTGGGTCTTCCCTCCAGACGCCAGCCAGGAGGAGGTGACAGCCTGCATTTGCAACCATTCTGACCCTTTCTCAGAGTTCCCTGAAGAGCAGGAGAGGCTCCAGTTTCCCGTTCCCAGTCTGGCTGTCCATCTGAAGGAGGGACGGTGGCTGGGCTCTAGCCAGGAGGGAAAGGGAACTGAGGGGGCTAGGAAGCAGGGCAGGCAGCCCAGCTTGGTGCCTCCTCCTCCCAGGCTTCACTACTTGTCCACTCCCCTTTGCTGGGGTCCAGGGTCTTCCCAGCTATGAGGGCCCCTCATTGTTTTGTGGCCCCAAGGCCGGCGGTGGGTGGTGGGGGCTGTGGGTGAGCAGACAGGCTTCTAGTCTTACTCTGCCCTGCCTGGATCCCACTCTTCTTCCCTACCCTTTTCCTGTCAGACACCTGTGGAAAAGCAGGGGCTCCAGCCCCAGCCCACCCCACCTTCACACACATCTTCATCTGCACGTGCCCTTTGCTGCTAGAGCTCCCATAGCTGAGGAGATGGCAGCTCAGAGCCAGGGGAGACTAGGTAAGGGGTAGAACGGCAGCAACTCACGCCCAGGCTGCCTGCCTGCCAGCCTGAGGGACAGGGTGACGACTGCCCAGCAGGTGGCCAGGGTCACCCTGATTCCCTCTTTTCCAACCACTTATCTCTTCATCCCACATATCCCTCTGGCCTTAGCCCCACCCCAAACTGCAGCCCTGCACGGGGCATGCTTTGTGCACTGTCCTCTGGACAGCCATCCTGGACAAGGCCCTCTAATGCAATGTGTCTGAACCTAAGGCATTTGTGGACAAGCCCTCACTTGTGCTCCCGTTTCTGCAGTGGTGCCATGATGTGCTCCTGAATGTCATCCACAGTGCCACCTCCATCCCATCATGGAATCTCAGTAACCCCACAGAACACAGAATTCTAGATTCTAGCCTCGTGGCTGTCTTCAAACAGAGCTGACAGCCCACCCTGTTACCAGTGACCACCTGGGCATAAAAGCCAGTCATGTTGCTGCCCAAAAGACTGTTGGTGTCTAGTGCCAACAGGGTGAATGTCCCAACCCTGTGTCTCTCTCAGCACCTGTCTGTGCCTGGGCTCCCGCAGGCCTGGCTGGCCACCATCCCCCGTATCTGCAGGCCCTTCCTGGGGTCACACTTTGTGAGCCAAGTACTGCCGTGGCCCTCTAGGTGCACTGCCACGAGCGTTCACAGCAGGTGCCACTGCAGCCCTTACCTCTTAGGGGAAATAGGCACAGGAAGGCCAATGAGTAAACTCCAATCATACCCGGGTTTGAACCGAGCAGTCACGTCCCAACATCTGGGCTTTTTTTTTTTCTGAGATGGAATCTCAGTCTGTCACCCAGGCTAGAGTACAGTGGTGTGATCTCAGCTCACTGCAACCTCCACTTCCTGGGTTCAAGCAATTCTCCTGTTTCAGCCTCCCAAGTAGCTGGGATTACAGGTGCGTGCCACCACGCCCGACTAATTTTTGTATTTTTAGGAGAGACGGGGTTTCACCATATTTGCCAGGCTGGTCTCAAACTCCTGACCTTGTGATCTGCCTGCCTCAGCCTCCCAAAGTGCTGGGCTTACAGGTGTGAGCCACCTCGCCCAGCCCATCTGGGGTCTTTTAAATATTTTTTAAAATTTATGCTATATATACATATATATTTTTTTGATAGAGTCACACTTTGTCATCAGGCCACAGTGCAGTGGCGCAATCTCAGCTCGCTACAACCTCTGCTTCCCAGGCTCAAGAGATCCTCCCACCTCAGCCTCCGGAGTAGCTGGGACCACAGATGTGCAACACCATGCCTGGCTGATTTTTTTTGTAGTTTTTGTAGAGACGGGCTTTTACCATGTTGCCTAGGCTGATCTCAAACTCCGGAGTTCAAGTGATCCACCCGCCTCGGACTCCCAAAATGCTGGGATTTATTTTTCTTTTTTCCACGTTGGCTTCCACATTAGGGACACCACACCTACGCTCTTAACTGCTGTCCCTAGGCCTCCTACGCGGTCTTCAGGACTCCAGAGCCTCTGCATAGGCTGTTCCCTCTTCTCATCCGTCTTTTCCCTTCTTTGCCTGGCAAATTCTTGCAAGCACCACCTACCTTCTCTAGGGAGACAGAGGGGACACACCCTCCCCCATGGTCTCTCAGAGCCATCTTCCCAGGGGACTAGGCTCTGCTTACACCTGCCTTCATGGCACTCCCCACCCCACCAAATAGGTCATAAACAGGCAATGTGGGGAGGACTCAAAACACATTCTCCCGCCTCCCCCCAGGTCTTCAGAGAGCTGGAACCTGCAGTGCTGTCCTGCCTCCGAGGCTATAGCGTCTGCATCTTCACCTATGGCCAGACAGGAACCGGGAAGACCTACAGCATGGAGGTGGGACACAGCCCACGCCCGGTGGGAGAGGCCCCAGGGGCCCTGCATGACTTGGATGTGAGCCCGATGTGTACCCCACCCCATCCTCAGGGCCCTCCTGAGGACCCTGGCATAGTTCCTAGGGCGCTGCAGTCGCTGTTCCGGGAGATGGGGACCGGCAGGCAGCACCGGGTGACACTCAGTATGGTGGAGATCTACAATGAGGCTGTCAGGTGGGCTACTCCACTAGGGAGGCCTTCTCCCCACCCCTGGCCCGGGGCGCTTCCGGGTTTCCAGAGAACTCTGGAACCAAGACCTTCCCCTTTCTCACCAGGGACCTCCTTGCCCCAGGGCCTCCCGAGCGTCTGGCCGTGAGGCAGGGCCCTGAAGGCCAGGGCGGGATCCAGGTGGCTGGCCTCACCCACTGGGACGTGCCCAACCTGGAGACACTGCACCAGGTAGGGCTGCCCCGCCTCCGGAGACCCTGTCCTTTCCTTCCAATTGGGGGCGGGGACCCCGCACCTGACCAGCCCTGTCGCTCCGCCTTCCAGATGCTGAAACTGGGGAGGAGCAACCGGGCCACCGCCGCCACCGCCATGAACCAGCGCAGCTCCCGCTCCCACGCCCTGGTCACGCTGACGCTGCGCGCGGCGACTCCACCGCGCGCTCCAGGCACCGCAGGTACCACGGCCAGTGCCTGAGCCCTGCGGAGTCACCAGCGCACCCGAGGCCCGGCCTTCCCCCATGTCGGGCTCGCTCGCCCCTCTAGGCACGCTGCACCTGGTGGACCTGGCGGGATCCGAGCGCGCACGGAAGGCAGGGGCGGCCGGCCCGCCGCGGGGAGACCCAGACGGCGCCCGGCGCCTGCGGGAAGCCCAGACCATAAACCGCTCGCTGCTGGCGCTGGGAGGCGTGATGGCCGCACTGCGGGCCCACCGGCCGCACGTGCCCTTCCGGGACTCGCAGCTCACACGCCTGCTGCAGCCAGCCCTGGGCCCCGGCACCACCGCGGTGCTGCTGCTGCAGGTGGGCGCCGGGGCGGCGCAGGCACGGGGCGGGTGTGTGCCTGCCGGTCGCCGCCCACCCGGGCCCGCCCACCCGCGCCTCTTGCCTACAGATCTCCACGCGGCCGGAGGACCTCGGGGAGACAGTCTGCTCACTCAAGTTCGCCGAGCGAGTGGGTCAAGTGGAGCTGGGGCCAGCCCGGCGCCGCAGGGTCCCGCGCTCCTCCGGGACGCCCTCCTCCCTCAGTACCGACACTCCGCTCACCGGGACCCCCTGCACCCCTACGCCGTCCCCTGGCAGCCCTCCATGCCCCAGTCCTGACAACGGCTCGGGCTCGGCCCTCACGCCCGGAGAGGGCCTGCCCCTGTAGTCCTGAGTGGCGTCCCTGCCCATGGGGTCTCGGGCCAGGTCTCTGCTGGCAGAGGCGGTAGTAAAGTCCCTGTACCCCCATCTTCCAGGGCACAAGCTCCTTAGCCTCTTTGGATCCATTGCCCCTGAACTCCCAGAATCACCCCTCCACCTCCGCAACCAGTGAAGTGTGTTGTGCCTGGTGAAGTGATCACCCCCCCCGCCCCCAGTCCTGCATCAGGCCACAGGTCTCGGCTTCCTCCTTATCACCATTTGTTGTTATCACAGCACACAGCAGGGAATCCCAGGCGCCCCCCGGCCAAGTGGTTACCCAAGTCACCACTCCTGACCCAAAAATCAGGCATGGCATTAAAACGTTGCAAATTCCTTTACTGTTAATCCTCCCCACCACCGGACCATGTAGGGTGCAGTCTTTACTCCCTAACCCCTTTCCCGAAAAAGGTGCTACCTCCTTCCCAGACAGAGAGAGGGCAGGACTTCAGGCTGGGCCCACCATAGGGCTCTCCCTCCCCCAGCCTGGAGCACAGGAGGGGAGGTGATGGATGGGTAGTGGGCTGAGAAGAGGGGACTAGGAAGGGCTATTCCAGGCTCAGCCCTGCCCCTCCAGCCTTGCCTCTGAGTGTAGGAGACAGAGGCATGACTGACCAGGGTGAGGGTTGTGCCCAGCTGGGCCATGGCCATGCCTGGGGTAGTCCAATAAACACCGTGGACTCCCAGCAAGGTTACTGCCTGGTGTTTCGAGGCTGCTGTGGTCGCAGACACCCACCTGGCCTTGGCTCCCTGTCAACAAGCTGGGGGTGGGAGCGGGAGGGAGGAGGGGCCCATGTCTTACTGGCCTCACAGGCTGCACCAGGAGAGCAGCCAGCCTGGGCCAGGGGCCGCCAGGTCCCGAGGGTGGCTGACCCAAACATCGTAGATACTTTTGTTGGGTGGCACCCCCTGGAAGAGGGCGTCTAGATCCCAGAGCAGCCCTGGGGGCCCTCGGGTTTCAGGGGCTACCCCCCAGTAGGCAGGGCTGTTTGATGGTGGGCATTGGGGACAGGAGGTGGGTGGTGGTGCCAAGGGCATTACCACATTGGGAGTGTAGATAGGCAAGTAGGAAGTGGGCAGCTGCCCCCAGAGGGAGGCCCTGTGTCCCCCGCTGGACAGCCCCCCAGGAACTGAGGCGCCCTGCAGTAGATGGAGAGGCCAGGCCCTAGGCTCTGGGGAGAGGGTCGAGGGCACGATGGCTCCCCCCTGCACAGTCTCCCCCTCCACTCTCGGGCCAGGAAGAGGGCAGAGGGGCCACAGAGACCTCTCAGAAGAGGGCAGGGGTGGGGTGGGCACTGCCTCCTCCCCACTGTTCCCTGTGCCTGCAGGAACTGGGCTGCTCTGTGGAGCTAGCCCCGGCCAGGGTGCCCCCTCCCCAGACCCCCCTAACAGGGACTTGATGCTGAAGCCCTCACTGGGTGACGGCGGGGGACTGGGCGGCCGGTACGGGCGGCCGTGCAGCACGTAGGGGCCCAGGTCCTTGGCGAAGGCTCGGCGCGCACCTCCCTTCTGCCAGCGCCTGCACAGGGCCGTGTTCTGCAGCCTTAGCGCCTCTGCTGGGATCAGGCTCACGTCGACCGCCCAGAAGTTGCCCTTGGCCTGGGGCTTTGCAGGGTCCTTGGGCACCTGGGTGTGGGGGTCAGACAAGGGTGCGGCTGCCCAACCTCGGATGCTCAGGACTTCCGCGCGCGCCCCGCCCCCGGGCTCCGACCCCGGCCTGCCCCACCTTGCGGAAGCATCGGTTGGAGGAAAGGTTGTGGCGAATGGAGTCTTTCCAGCCCTCGTAGTCTTCCCTGAAGAAGGGGAACACGGCCTGGACCTGACGGATGATCTGAAACCGCCAGGCGGCCGGCCGGCGCCGTGAGCCCAGACGGGGAGAGTGTAGCGCCCCACCCCTCCCCCACTACCGGGCTCAGGGGCGCGCGGTGCCGGCCCCTGCTCGCCCCGAAGAAGAACATTTCTGCGCGGAAGGGCGACAGAGGGGGCAAGGGGCTCCCGGAGAAGGGTCGTGCCTTGAGGCCCTCAGCTCTCAGGACTGGTCCCACTGGCATACCTGGGTGGGCTAGGAAGGTGTGGGGGTTAGGGTTTGAGCCTGGAAGTGGGTGGGGAACGAGTCTGGGGAAAGAGAGAGTGGGGGCCGGGGCCCTCTCACCTGGGCCAGCTTCAGTCTGCGGGAGGGTGCGGCCTGAATCACCAAGGCGATCATGGCCAAGTAGGTGTAGGGGGGCTTGTCATGTCGCAGGTACCTCTTCTTCCTCCTCTTGGGGGGCTGGGAGGGCGACTCTGCCTCTGGGGGCCCCAGGCGGGAGCCGCTGCAGGGCCCCATGCGGGACAGTAGACAGCGTGGGCAGGGGCCTGGCCAGGTGGAGGGTGCAGGGCAGTGGGGCAGTGTAGGAGGCAGGGCCGGGGCCTGAGGCCGGGCTGGGGCAGGCGGGCTGGGGCCTTTATCATTCGGATGGAAGGGGGAGGGGAGGGAAGGGAGGAAGAGGCTGTGGGGGAGGGGAGCATGCCGAGGGCTGCCACAATTAGCAGGTTTTGGTTAATCTGGAAGGGAGGGGCAGAGAGGATTCTAGTGGGGGCTTCTCCTGAGGCCTCAGTCTCCACCCCTGAGCTACCTTTGGGTGGCCAGGCCCCGCTTCAAAGGGGCTGCGATGACCAATGGCTACTTTATCCCGTCTTCCCTGGCCAGGTTTCAGGACCCCATTTAACAGATGGGGGAGTAATTCGCCCATGCCAAGCTCCCAAGGAGTGGGGCATCCCTGGAGTTCTACACCTAGCAGCTAGTAGGCCCTGAACTATGGGGGCTGGATACCCACTCAGGACATGATCAGGTGGGCCTTCCTGGAGGAGAAGGCCATGAAGTCTCCACCCTAGGAACAAAAGGGGGACACATTGACTCAATTGATTTCTTGGGAGTTGCTTCAGGAGCCCAGGTGGACCCCTCACCTCCTCCCTAGCCATCTCTCCTCCACCAGCCAAGCAAGGCTGGTGTTACGTACCCTGCCTCAAAGCCCAGGTTCTCCTCCCTCACAAGGTGCAAGTTTGCCCAAGAGGATAGCAGCTCTGGGAACTAGCAGGGGTGGTTGGTGCTGGCACCGGGCCAAGGGCCCCCAGACACATGGGGCCCAGGGATATGCTTTTGCCCTTCACTCTGAGAATTCAGCTTTTCTTGCACAGCCCCCACCATGATAACCTCAAAGGGCTGAAAATCTACAGCATATGGTGGGGTCCAGCACACCCCGAGGTGCGGAAGGGAGGGACAGGCAGCGAGTCTCCAAGAGGAGGCGGCCTGGGCTGCAAGGGGCCTTGTATGTGGGGTGCCACACTGCTCCTGCCTGCCACACCCCTGGTCGGGTGGTGCCCCTTTTCCTTCTATCTCTGACTCTCCCCTCAGACCCCACCTGGTTTCCCTTAGGACCCCTGTTACCACACCGACTGCTGGGGCCCTCTCTGTTGTGTTCCCTAGGCTATGGCTGCACAGTCCTGTGCCTCATAGGCTAATACTTGTGGCCTCTTACCCCACTCGGTCAGCAAGGCGTCGTTCTTTCCTATAAGTGTTTGTTGTTGTTTTGAGACAAGGTCTCACTCTGTTGCCCAGGCTGGAGTGCAGTGGTGCGATCTGGGCTCCATGCGGCCTCCACCTTCCCGGTTAGGGCAATCCTCCCGCCTCAGCCTCCCAGGACTACAGGCAAATGCCATAGCGCCCGGCTAATTTCTTTCTTTTTGGTAGGGACGGGGCCTCCCTATGTTGCTCAGGTTGGTTTACTGGGCTCGAGTGACCCACCGGCCTCGGCCTCTCCGCAAAGTGCTGGGATCACAGACGTGAGCCACCGCGCCAGGCCTTTCCCATAAACTTTTTGTTTGTTTGTTTGTTTTTTGAGACGGAGTTTCGCTGTGTTGCCCAGGCTGGAGTGCAGTGGCGCAATCTCGGCTCACTGCAAGCTCCGCCTCCCGCGTTCACGCCATTCTCCTACCTCAGCCTCCCGAGTAGTTGGGACTACAGGCGCCCACCACCACGCCCGGCTAATTTTTTTTTGTAGTTTTGGTAGAGACGGGGTTTCACCATGTTAGCCAGGATGGTCTCGATTTCCTGACATCGTGATCCGCCCGCCTGGGCCTCCCAAAGGACTGGGATTACAGGCGTGAGCCACCGCGCCCGGCCTCCCATAAGTTTTAAAGCACCCCCCTTTCCACTGGCACCTCCTTGGTGGGGCGCTGGAGGCTCCCCAAGTTCTGACCGCTCATCTCCGACGTCCCGGGCCCGACACCACCCCCAAAGCTGCCACTCATTCCGCTGGCGCCCGTCCCATTGTCTACGATGACTCGGTTTTGTCCAGCATAAATCAATGACCACCGTCCCGGGAGCCCTGGAGTACTTTGAGCCCTTCGCGTCCCACCCGGGCCCCGAGGAGGTCCCAGCCGCGGAGGACTCGCCCGGCCACCCGCAGCTGTCCCAGTTGGCCCCCGCCCCCGACCGTCCCTCCCAGGCCCCGCCCCCGACCTTCCCTCCCCAGGCTCCGCCCCCGACCTTCCCTCCCCAGGCTCCGCCCCCGGCTCCCACGGGGCACCGCGGCTTCCGGCTGTGGGTAGCGCGGGCCGGAAGTGTAGCGTTGCCATGGCGAGAGCCGGGCGCGGGGCCCGCCCCCGCAGCGCCTCGGGGAGCGCGGGGCCCACTGACCCGCGGAAGCCAGCGGACCCACTTACGCGGCGGCCGGCGCGGGACACGAGGTGAGGCGCGGACTCCCGGGTCCTGCAGCAGGAGCGGAGCGAAGGAGAGGGGCCCGGGCCAGGGACAGCCGTGGCGGGCCCGGGAAGGAGGGGCACTGGGTCGACACCGGGAGAGGAGGCCGGGCCGTGGAAAGATGAGGCCGAGGGGAGGGAGGAGGCCGGGGGGGGGCGGGAGGAGGAAGAGACCGAGTGGGGAGAGGAGGCTGGCGAGGGAGAAGGCTGGCGAGGGAGGAGGCCGGGGAGGGGCCCTCGGGAGACGCGGCTGCCGGCACGCAGGCGCCCAGGGCACAGGTCCCGGCGGGTCGCCTTGGGCGTTGCTGGCTGAGGCCCAGGGCAGCAGGTGCCAAGGGTCAGGAAAAGCAGGGAGCCGAAGGCTGCCGGTGGGCCCTTCGCATTTTGTTCCAAGGCGAAGGTGTGTGGATTCTCTGCAGCCCGTAGGTCAGGTAGACAGCTCCGGAATTATCCACATTTTCAGATGAGGAAATCAAGGCCACAGAGAGGGGACTTACCCAAGCTTTGTGTGGGCTTTGGAGCTAGGCTGAAGGAGAAAGGGGAGTCTCTCTCTGAGGCAAGTTCCTTCAACTTTCAGGGATTCACATGACCTCACTTGTAGCGCGGGGCGCCTGGACCACCCCTCAGGAATTGGGGTCAGGGCAACAATTACTAAGCAAGCACCCCGCCCGGGAGGGAGTGTCCGGGACTGGTGTGGGCCCCTGTCTGTACCAGAGCAGAGGCCCCGGGCACGGTGGGATTAATTTCCATGGGTGCAGAGACGGGAGGGGTGTACGGAGTCATTCTAGGCTTATGGGAGCCAGAGCAAAGTTAGCCGTTCCCCAAACCTCTGTGCCTGCCTTTTGTTCCTGGATTCCTACTTGGGGGTGGAGGTGGAGGCCGGGGTACCGCTGCCTTTTTCAAAGCGTGTCTAATACAGCAGTGAGTCCTCCTGGGCGTCTTGGCG